TTATAATGAATGAGGAGACTGTGTGGCAAGAATTATCGGAAATACTAGCTGATCCTCCAGAGACAAGAGATAAATGTTCGCAATGCAAGTAAGTACATATATATCATTAGGTTATGTATAAATTTGATTTGATATATTTCAGAACTTATGTTAAGTAAATTAATACTATATTTTCGCAGAAGACCAGTTCCAGTATGTTGGTGCCCAGGATTACCAAAGCATCGTGTATGTCCTGCATCAAAAGTAATAATTTTACAGCATCCAGCTGAAGCAAAACGTTGTTTAAGAACTGCACCCATGCTAGCTCTAGGTTTAGAGCCAGGAAAATGTGTAATTTATAGGTAATTAAATTAAATATTTAACTAACTAACATTTAATGTTAAAAATTATAATCTTAAAATATTTGTTACATTAGAGGAAAGAAATTCCCACTCTCAAAACATGAAGGCTTAGCAGAAATTTTAAGTGATAGCAATACTATATTACTGTATCCATCTCCAGGTGCTATAGCACTTGATAAATTAAGTCCTGTTGGAATTAATGGACAGAAACCATATAATCTTATTTTATTAGATGGAACTTGGCCACAAGCAAAGGTATTAATATATATCATATTTTAAATAATGTATATAACAAAATAAATAAAATAATTGTTTCCATCAGGCAATATATCATTCAAGTCCAGCACTGTGTGTATTGCAAACATGTAAATTAATTGGAGTTCCAACAAGTGAATATGTCATTAGAACACAACCCACTGAAGGTTGTTTGTCAACTCTTGAAACTGGTGCATTTGCATTATCCATTTTAGAAGGTGACCCAGAATTAAAACATAAAATGCTTGGACCTCTACATTATCTTTGCAGGTAATTTTTCAGTATAATAATATAAAATATTTTACAGGAATAATAGTAAGGGAAACCTTAGATTTCAGCTAGAAAATGGTGCTGTAACCCATCAAAGTAAAGAATTTCTTGTTAAACAAAAAACTTATCCAAAACTTATAGGACGAAGATTAGCCAAACAATTACGTATGCTGCCGGAGGAAACTACGTAACATTTTTTTTATTTGATACCTTAAAGCAATAAACCAAACAATATTATTTATGGAACAATTATTCTATAATAAATGTAATTTTTATACGCATGTTTAAGAAAATGCAAGGAAACAAATAAGAATTAAATTTCTAATTTAAGTATATTTTTATAAACATTGCATTATATTATTTCATACTTTTTGACAATATATGAAAATCAAATTTAATATTTCCATGTTGTGGTACAAAGTTAAATGAGCATGAAACAATACTTTGTTGCGTAACATGTGCTATATCTTTAAATAAATGTACGCCTTGTCTTGTGTACCGGTCCCACGATATCCGTTTACCAGGTTGCACTTCTGCTGTAGGTCCTGAAGATACCGTAATTTCAGAATCCAAGTGCCAGTCAACCCACAAAGCTACACCATTACATGTTCCACTTCTAGATGATAAAAAATAACAGTGAATAAATATTACAATTTATAGTAATCATTGATGCAAAATTTAATAAAATCTTACTCCAAGATAGGTACAGCTGACGAGATATTTACACTTTTGTATTCGTTCACATTTTGTAATAAATCAAATTTTTTAATAATAAAAGGTAAACTTAATGCTTTAGCAGGGTATTCCCACAATGGTTGAGCTTCTACTGGGCTATCACTCTTATCACTTGACGTCTATAATATATTATAAAAATTAAATTTTTGTTCATACTTTGTACCTTATATAAACTAACCTGTATAAGTTTATCGAAAATAGATAAATCGAAACCTTCGCAGATTCCAAGCGGTGCTCGTATGTTATGCAAATCTTTGAATTCAACTATGACGCCCATTAATGTTGCTGCAATTGGTAACCTTTGTATTTGAGGCGAATATTTTGAAGCTAAGTACCAGAAATACAAATTTTCCCATGGGACAATCGAAGTAATAAAGTACGGTTCACCGAAAATTAAATTAATTTCACTTTCAGAAGGTAAATTTTCCACTGATTTGATAATATGTACTTTTTCTGAAAGCCTATTCGTTTCAACAAACATTTCAATACATTTTCTAGACAAAAAATTTGTCTCTAAAATGAATATTTTTTTTGCGCCTAATTTAATAGCAGCAAGGCCTAATAAAGAACCATCTGTGAGACATAAGCATACTGTATCCGATGTAACTTTTTTTTCTAATGCTTCAATATATTTTTTATTCCGCATATGATCGTTTAATTGTCCTATACGTGTTCTACAATAAGCTACATGAACACTGCAGCTGCAAATAGGTCTTTCACAATCTGGTATTTTCTTTCTACAAATAAAAAATTGTCAATCACAGTAAAAAAAAAAAAAAAAAATAAAATATATAAAATGCACAAATCAACTTACATTGATTCATTTATCAATTGGAACCATAATGAATATTCATCATGGTAGCCAATCAAACTAACTTCATTACCAGCAATTACTGGAGTTTCTACAGGTAAATAGTAAATAGCTTGCATCCAATGATCCCTCCAAGGTATAACATCTGCTATTGCATCCAAACTTATTCCTTTACTTTGTAATATTTTTGCATCTGGATGTTCCCACACAGGTGCACAACTTAATAATACCTATGTAAAAACTATTTAGTAACAGGTTTTATTTTTGTTTACAAGTAATAATTACCTCATTATTAACATCCATGATTAAATCCCACCACATAAAAATAGCATGTGCTGTACCACTTTCAATTGCTTTGACACGCAAACAGTTTGTTTCATCATAGAATAGTAATTTGCTAGCTAAATTAAACCTAGAATTCATATTACATGTCATGGCTTTCTTATGTAGTTTCTTAAGTTTTGAATAACTTATCACATACATTTACCTAAATATTGGTTGAGGTGGTAATAAAGGTTTAAATGTATCATAAGGAAACTGTGTTAACTGTATATCATGTACTGCAGCTGCTCCAGAACAAGACTTTATAGAATGTGGTATTTTTAATAAGCATGTGTTTTTATGTTGAATTGGATGTATTGTATTCCATGCACATACAGCAGAGCTTTCCACTACTTGTACCCAAACAGTAGCAGTATGTGGCACCACTATAGAATTTTTCTAACATAAAATATGTACATACATTAAATAACATTATATAAAATTGTATAAATTAAAAATGTAATATTTGTACTTCAAGAAGGTGTTCATGAGCATGACGAAATGTGGAAAGTGCTCCTTCTCCAATAAGTTCAGTATCAAATACTTCAGTAACTAAAATGTTTGCTTTTTTAATTAAGTCACCATCCTTTCCAATTGTCATTTTGGTGGAACGTTTATGCACTAATTTGATTTTATCTTCAAAGCCATTTTCTTGTATTATTTTAATAGCACATTTAGCCATTGGTGTGAAGGCCTAAACAATACACTTGAGGTTTCTAATTTGTAAACATAACTTCACAAA